TCTACGCACTACAATAGCTGAGGCCACTTTTTAAAACTTGGATGGCAGGGCACAGTCTTCCTTGCTAAGAAGAGGGTGTGATGGCAGACAATGTAAGAAGGGATTTTTATCACCTGTTGACATTCACTGGGGGGAAAAAAGAGAAGACAGAATGAAATATAAGGCTAAAGGCCCCAGGAAAAGTCAGGCATTACTATTTTGTGACTTAAGCCCCTGTTGTTCTGTCTCCTTGGGTGTCAACTAACCTCTGGTTGTTCAGAACGTCCTCCCGCTGGATCCCTCGGAATCTTTCTCATGAACATCAACCACCTGTTTATTACCGTAACCATCAAAACTTCTGTGCTCAGGGCACAGGTCTGCAGGAGTCCCAATTATGGAGATAACTGAAGAAGCAGGGTCCCGACAGATGGAGTGAGCTAAACAAAAACGGGCTGAGAGGGAGGCGCCCGTCAGGAAGATGCAAGTTCCTTGAAGTGTTAAGAACAACGGCTCTGGTAGATGGTGTGGTGGTTAAGGGTGCTGGACTCCAACGTGGCTGACCATGGTTCGAGTCCTAGACCTGGAGGATTGCTTTCTCTCTTTCTCTTTCTCTTTCTCCCTCCCTCCCTCCCTTTCCTTCTCCTCCTCCCTCTCCCTCTTTGGTCAAATTAAAAAAAAAAAAAAAAAAGTTAAATAATTATTTTAAAAATAAAGAACAGTGGCTCTAAATCAGGAGAGCAGGGATAACTCACCTGATCACATTTCTCAATTACCTAGATACTTTCGAAACTATAGATTATTCAGCCAAAAACACAAGGATTCTGATTTAGTTCTTCTGAAGTACTGTCTTGGGATCTACAAGTCACTAGGGGATACTGACGACCAGTCAGGCATGTATACAATGGTCTCCCTTTCCCTCCCTCCCTCCCTCTCTCTCTGACTCTCTCTGTCTGTCTTTCTCAGCAGTGCACATGCCCTAAGGCAAAAACCTCTGGGGTGGGGGGTGGGGGAGCCGGAAATAATAGCTTCCCAGTCCCAGGATGAGTAGATGAGTAGGGAACAAGGACAGCCAGCTGCAGGCTGCCTCTGCTCTCTCCCTGATGTCTCCCAAACATGGAACAACAAACTACAAACCTACCCTGACCCCTTGTCAGCAAGGTCGTACAGCTAAACACTGTACTAAGACAATCTATCCTGAGACATGTGATCTTGAGGATACAGGATGAACGGATAACTCACAAACGGTTTTTCATGGATACTCCCGTGTGCATATTCCCTCATTCCAAGGTACAAAAATGGCCTTCGCGATTGACCCTACCTCTTGTCCTACCTTCTAAACTGGATATATCCTACACCTCTTTGTTTGTTGGGCATTCCCTTCCTTTTTCTTAGAGAGATTTTTGTATAGGGGGCATGTGCTCACTGGAGAAACAGAAAGGGACAGAGACAGAAAGCGAGAAATCACCCCCAGGGGAAATGGCCACACAACCATCCCTTCTCCTCTTGGAATTTTGGGCATGCACACATATGTGCCCAGCCTAAATGAGAGTCCAGCAACATAACCATTACGGCATCTACTGGTCCCTTATTTGTTTGTTTTTGTCAGAGGGTGCATGTGCTCACTGGAGAGAGAAACAGACAGTGAGAGGGAAAGTGAGAAACCACCCCCCCAGTGAGGGATGGCTATGCTGCAATCCCTTCTACTCCAACCTCCTCCCAAGATCTGGGGCATGCAAACACATGCTCCTGGTATGATTTTCAAGCCATCGGGTCTGGGATTCGAACTGTGCTCAGCCATGTGGGGTTTCAGTGATGTAAGCACCGCACTGTCTGCTGGCCCAGGGCATTACTTTCTTCACATTAATCATCTTGAACTAAAATGTTTTGAGCACATACAATCAGTCAATAATTCTTAATGAGAAAATAGTTTTCCTACATTCTAATGAAGACTGTCCAAAGTGTACCTGACTCTTAGATGCTTGTGAAACTAGCGAAGCAGTACATTGCGCATCTGCTTCTAAGGAAAAGCTGGAGGACTAGAGGAGAAATCCTAAGCTCTGAATCTAAATACTGCTCCAGGCCAGCAGGTGGCCTGGTGGTTAAGTTGGCTGGATCCCAAATGGCTGGCCTTGTGGTGAAAGTCTCAGACCCAGCAGCTTGAAAAAACACACCATGCACATTTGTGCATGCTCCAAGTCCCAAAAGGAGAAATGGAGAAGTGACCGAAGAATGACCAACCCCGAAGTAAGAAGGGTACTTTTTCACTTTCCCTCTCTGTCTCTCTCCAGCAAGTTCATGCAACCTCTATCAAATTTAAGAAGAAAGAGAACTGAGAGAAGTGCTCCGAGTCTAATCCTGGCACCTTCTAACTTGCCCTACTCAAATTTTTGGAAGCTCTATTTTCTCATTTGTAAAAACAAGAACGGTCACTGTGCAGAGGGTGGCTATGTTTTCTAGTTGTGGAAGGATCTTAAAGGAAGTTTCTCTATCCAATGTATGCACGTATGTGTGTGACCTGATCCAGTCTTTGTAGATAAGTCTTTCCTTTCAGTGCTAACAGTACCCTCCATACCATCCTTGCCCTGCTACCTGCCGAAAAAAAAACAAGACCAAGAGGTCACAACAGGGCAGCCTAAAGCCAAATACAGTGCTTGGCCAGGTTTTGTGTTCATCCACAGTATCAGGCCCGCACAGGTTTGTCAAGCAATGGATTCAGATATCGACACGTGGAAGGGCAGTACAGGAGCACAGGCTCCAGGAGCTGCTCTGCCAGGGTCCAAACCCCAGCTCCAGAAGCTGTAAGACCCAAGTTTACATCTCTATGCCTCAGCTCTTCATCTGTTAAGAAAAAGGGGTGGAGGGGACAGCAGTGACCTACTTAGCTCACAGTGTTGCTGAGTGCGCTCAGGCAAAACAAGCCAAGCATCGAGAACAGCATGTGCAATCAGCACCCAGTGTTTCGAATCTGCTGCCTCATCCAAAGATGAGGCAGCACTACACCCAGCAGGTGCAGGGTGACAGCTGACACCTGGGTGGGCCATTAGCTCTCAACGTCTCTGTAATTCCTCTACTCCCAAGTGTCTTACAGAGTCTACCTTATGTGGACCTTCTGCCATCAGGGGATTACCCGTAGGGCTATCCCTTCAGCCTTGGACTTAGAAAATCCCTAGTAAGAGGAAAGCAGAGGATTGTACAGTGGTAAAATACAACACTCTTGTGAGGCAGTCCCACACAAGAAGGTCCTCAGTTCGAGTCCAGAGACCTCCCTGAGTACTCAGCACACACACATGCCCATGAACCAGCGCTGGCTGAGGGCTAGGCATGGATTAGTTTGGAATGCAGTTTGTCTGTCTCTTCTTCTCACACTCATGGAAAAAATTAACTTCATAAGAAAAATAAATAAATCAATAAAAGAGGAGGAAGAAAGCAAACAGCTCCAGAAAAGGAAATTATAATGTCCTCCCCAGTCAGACTCAGTAGCAAGGATATGGAACCCACTCCAGGAAAGTTAAGAAGTACAAGAGCAGTGGGACAAATGGTGAGTGTTTTGAGGACTGTCAGCGTAAACACTGACTCCTGCAATAAATCAGGCAAGCTTTGAGAGCTACAGCTGAAAGACTACCAATGCCAAATCATCCATTAATCGGCAGAATGTTTACATCCAGAGGATCTGTTATGTGTCCTGGCAATAACCGGGGCCCTAATGGCTCCTCCTCACATCTCCTTTGTCCCCGTGTCTATTTACCCAGCACATCTCCATGCAGCTGAAGCTAACAAGCCTCTCCGTGCACACCAGCACTTCAAGTCCATTAGTCAAAGCGGCCGTGAGGACACCTTGGTTCTGGGTGGGCCTAGAGAATGGGTCTCTATGGCAGAGCCACGTCGGATGTCTCTCTCAACTGCCTCTAAATCCAAGTGACTACAAGTTTGAGAGTGAGACACAAAATAAGTAAATGCATTTCAAGAGGGCAAGGACTTGGGTATGCTTTGGTGGTTATTCCCTCTCCGAAGACCAGAACCCCACTGCTACGTAGAACATGTAAAGTACCTAGAATTGTAGCTGGCAGGTCACAAGCTCCATGACAGTTACTATGGATTACTATAACAGCAAATGCAGGGGTATGTCTCGAAGGCAAATTTAACTTTATACGTCAAGCTCTTGGCTTATAATTTGGCACCAGACCAACCTGAGTGAACTCACTGGAAATATTAGAGCCTTATAAAGAGCTTTCTGGACTACTGTTTTCTTTCTGCTTCAGAGTAACACACTTTGATGCCCTGTAGCCAACTTCTTGTGTTTCCAAACCTAATGACACTAGTCTGTGATGAGAATGAAAATGGAGCACTCCATAGGACATTGCAAATTATTGTAACGTGTAAGAGGAACTAAAATACGGACACTTTCAAAACAAAAACACGAGCAATGTAAACAGGAAAATATGAACAGAATGAGTTTAAAGTATTACTCATGATCTGTCAGTAACATTCAAATACAGTAGCATTCAAATATGGAAAACATGTGGAAAAGAAAAGACAACAGTAATCTCTTTTATCTAGCAGATATGGCTACTTATCTAGCAGATGTGGCTATTGATGTCAAAATCCTCCTTGCCTCAAATGCTCACTCTACATTTTCAGATGGTTTCAATTCCACCCATTCCTAGCTATGTTACACTCTGTGAGTGTTGACAATTTTCTCTTAAAAAGGCATTTCAGATAGAACCGTATCTTACCCACAGTTCTCTGCCTCTTAACCATGCGTTCAATTTGACAAAGGTAAACTTTAGAAAATAATCTATTGAGTTATTGCCTGGCTACTTATTTATCAAATGATGTGCAGATATGGGGAAAAGGTCCTAGAACATTAAAAAGAAAAAGAATCAGGCTGTTGTTTGCATTATTAAAGGAAAAAGAACTGGAACAGAGGCCATTCTGATATCCACACAGATCAAAACTCTCCTTCTTCCTCCTTGCTACCATTTCCTAGTTTAATTAGTTCTAACCAACTAATGCAACAGAGTGACAGCCAAGTCACTATCTCATGGTTTCTATCGGGTTCCTCATTTCTATCTCTTCTTGAAGATGAGCAAGAATTCTGTGCATAACATTGCTACTTTGGAGCCTACGTTGAGACACACGCTGGAACGAATGCTGTTTGACTTGGGGGATGAAGAGCTAGAAAAAGGTAAGGAAAAGGCTTTTCCATGAAACAATTTGAGTGGATATGAATGGTGCACAGGGAGGGAAAAAGATTTCTGAGCTGGCCAGCAGTAATGCTGGGAATCACTGAGCTATCTGCATTCATATTTTTCTCAGTAAGTTACTTTTTGTTTTCAAAACTGTAATTGGTTGGAATGTCAATATATCTGCCCATGCTAATTTTCAGACCCAAAGCTGAAATATTATCACTGATAATTGTTTAGGATTTCCAGTGTGGCTATCAAAATATATCTATGATGAAAAGATAGCAAAGAAAATGTTTACAAGGTAATAATCCAGGACAAAATATCAAATACTTGTAAATGTGTATTAAAAAATGTTTCTGAAAAACATCACAAAATAAGTTATTGCTATTGATTATGAATTAGGGTGAATATGTTTTGCTTGTAATTGCAAGTGTGCAGAGATATATAGTGTATCTAGTTGTACTTATATAGCTAAAAGCATTTTATCTTTTGTCATTATTAGAGTAAGTTAACCCTACTAACATCTAATAAAATATTTATTTGCCCTCAAAGAGAATTATAAACCACAAAAATATCTAGCTTATGCATAGCAAAAATTTATATGCTAGCTATCTACGATTTATGACTACTCAACTAAATTACTTAAAATATTATAAACACTGTAAATTTAAATTAGAGGGAAATGAGCACAGACTCTTAATGTCAGCGTATTCAACCAATCCCAAGCAATCCACCTGGGCTGTATTTTTAAAAACAAGGTCAATTAATCCTAAATATGTATCGAAGGTCATGCTGGTAAAAAAAATAATAATAAATAATAAATTGTAGCTTGCATATTCATCTTTTTAAAACATGTAAACTTGAAATCAGTTTTATCACCAAAAAATGGAGATATCAAATTTAAAAAATAAAATAATGCACGTACTATAAAATATCAAAATAACATGTTATGATTTATAGACATGTAAAAATAAATTGTATACTTTAAGAAAACTTTTAAATACATACACACATGTGCACGCGCACACACACACACACACGCACACACACACTGGTATATACACATGAACTATGTATTGCGATGAATGTTTCGATCTTAATAAGGAAGACATGAGGGGATACCAAGGTATGCAAAGCATGAAGACCAGTAAGGGGAAGTGGCAGGGTGTGGGGCAACCACTCTCGTTTGCAGTGTTACGAGGCCTTACGGTACTCATTTCACACTTGAGGAAGCAGGTACAGGGTGTAATGAGCCTGTGCAAGTCTGCGGCTGATCTCCCAGGGCCTGGATCCCCTGAGCACACAGAGACGCCTGCACTCCGTTCACCACCACTGGTCCCTGTAGCCCACAGGGCTTCAACCAGGCCATCCTTGCCCCCCAGCTCTTCCCACCAATCATGCCTGACCATGCCCCCGAATCCCCTTCAATTCTCTTCAAATACTTGCATCTTCAATCATGTAGTTTTACCTAGTACTTAGAATTTCCTGTTAAAACATTGTCCTGTTATAAAAATGCTTACTCTAGGAGCCGGCAGGCTGACTGAGGTTTGAGTCCCAGACCTGACGGCTTGCTTTCTCACTTCCTCTCTCTCCCTCTCTCCCCCTCTCCCGCTCTCTCTTTCTCTTCACTCTGTCCCTCTCTGGTTAAATTAAAACAAATAAATAAACAAACAAATAAATAAAGTTAAATAAGATCATTCTTTTTTAAAAATTTCAAATTCCGAAATTTGAAAAAGAAATATTGAAGACTCTGAACACTTCTGGTTCCAGGTATTTCATGTAAGGGATATTCAATATGTAGTAAAAACACGGGATTATAATCATTGCTAACATCCTTAAACAGAATAAATACATCCAGGCAGGAGGGCAAAAGAAAACGCCCCTTCAAGACAGGTGACTAAATGGGGGAAAAAAAAAAAAAATCAAAATATCAATGGTTACACGAGGCACCAGGTACTAAGTAACCACCTCTGAGAGTCCAGTAAACCAAGCTCCTGTCCCCTACCCCCAATCCCTTCCATATAATGACATCAGAACAAGATTGCCGCAAGAATGAAATCAGCTGTTTACAAAGTCTTCAACACAGTAATATAGGAAGTATTCAGTAGATGAGATCTAACATCATTATAATTGTTTTCGCTATTACTCTAAAGACTAACTTCATCAAAGCAGATGTTTGTGAAATTACATGCCAGACCTTTGGAAAACATAACTCAGACATTTCAATGTCTTTGTGAATCAAAACAAATAAGGTATCAGACTAGCTACAACAGTGGTTTTCAAACACAAGTCCATGTTGGAATCACAGAGAGGGCTTTTTTTTTTCCCAATTGTTTTCGCTATTACTCTAAAGACTAACTTCATCAAAGCAGATGTTTGTGAAATTACATGCCAGACCTTTGGAAAACATAACTCAGACATTTCAATGTCTTTGTGAATCAAAACAAATAAGGTATCAGACTAGCTACAACAGTGGTTTTCAAACACAAGTCCATGTTGGAATCACAGAGAGGGCTTTTTTTTTCCCCCCGCTATAGGGCGCGAGCACTCACCAGACAGACAGAGAGAGACATAGAGACAGAAAGTGAGAAATCACCCCCCAGGGGGGATGGTCACGCTGCAATCCCTTCTCCTCCATTCTCCTCTCAGGATCTTGGGCACGCACGCACATGCGCCCGGCGTGAGTTTTAAGCCACCGGGTCCGGGATGCAAACCGCGGTTGACTATATGGGAGTTCAGCAACATAGTCATTACGCTAACTGCTGGTTCCCACAGAGAGGGCTTCTTAAACCATGTATCCCTGGGCTGTGGCCACAGGGTTTCTGATGCAGTAAATCTGGGTTGGGGTATAAGAATTTGCTTTTCTTTATAAAGCCTTCTTAAAAAATTCTTTATGAAAGAGACGGAGAGAAAAGGAGAGAGACGGGCACACCCAACGTGGTCCTCACACTACAGTCCACCCCCAATCAGCCAGGCCAGATCACAACAGACACACACGCCTAGCACACACAGGGAGAACTCGGGCTGCAAACGCAGGACCTTCCCATGCAGGCCGGGCATCGCAGCGCCCTGCTTTATCACTGCTCCAATGTGCCAGTCCCGAATTTGCATTTTTATCAAATCCCCATGTAAAACTGCTGCTGATCCAGGATCCACACTGTAAGAACCACTTATCTAGGAGAATCCCATGTTGCACTGGCCTCATTAATAAAACCGCCAGCCCAGCTGTGGTGGTACATGCTGCTCAGATGCCGAGCGCCACAGGCTGGGGCCACAGGGGGAGCCTGGATCTGGACTCCTGGTTCAGCCAACACAGCACGTACAATGGTGTGTGCCTGTAATCAAAGAAACTCAGGGGGCTGGGCAGGAAGGCTGCAAGCTGAAGGCCGGGCTGGGCAACAGGCGAGATCCTGTCTGATAGAGCCGGATGCTGTGTCCTACACTTGTGGTCCCAGCTGCTCAGAAGGCTGAGGCAAGAGGATCCTGGGACACAGCAAGCCACTCTTTTTAAATAAATAAGCAAACCAACACACACACAACTGTCCACAAATTTTTTATTCAACTTAAGATGAAGAGGGGATAGGACAAGGAGAGAAAGAAAAAGAAGAAAAGTCAAGACATTTCCTATTTGACTTAAAGCACTTCTGAAGCCAGCTGCTGAATAGGACTGTGATTGCCCAGAACGATGGTCACTCTGCAAAACACCTCTAGAGTACAGTAAATTCCTGAGGCTTCCCTAAGCCTGAGGGTCTATTCTTTTTTTTTTTTTTTAGAGTTTTTTCACTGTAGGGCGCGTGCGCTCGCCAGACAGACAGAGACATAGAGACAGAAAGCGAGAAATCACCCCCCAGAGGGGATGGTCACGCCGCAATCCCTTCTCCTCCATTCTCCTCTCGGGATCTTGGGCACGCACGCACACGCGCCCGGCGTGAGTTTTAAGCCACCGGGTCTGGGATGCGAACCATGGTCGACTACGTGGGAGTCCAGCGACATAGCCATTACGCTAACTGCTGGTTCCCCCTGAGGGTCTATTCTGAGCACCTAGAAGTCATCAGGCTTATTCCGTGTGGCTGCAGCATTTCCTTGATAAGTCAGTAACAAGTGGAGAGTCTAAATACCAAGAACACATCAATCCAGGGAGAAAGGCTAACACCACCAACACAAGCTTATTCTGCCAGCTTCCTCACAGGAAGAAGGAAGTGTCCATCCTCCTCCTCCTTACTCACCAGTAGAAGGCTGTCCAGCAGAGGAGGATGGACACTAGGCGAATCCCCTTCGACTGAAAATTACATCATCAGTACCAGTTTAGGAAGAGCAGAGGTTCTCAAAAGCCCGAGACCCACTGCATTGATGGAATGAGTTACATTGGCCTGGCTGAACATGCGGATTCTTTAGACTTTAGCCTGACTGACTGAGTCAGAAACTCTGAGGAGGGAGCACAGAAAGCTGTTTTAACAAGCCTTCTAGGTGGTTTTGTTGCACACTCAATTTTAAGCTCCATCGGGCAGAGTGACTTCATGCCCTAGGTCACTCCAGTTCCCAATATTCACCTGCTGTCAGGGCGTAAATGTAAGTAGTGCCCCTTGCTTTTTCAGAAGTATCCTGGTTTGGATAGTACATTATAGAGTCACCCTTACATTTCAGCTTAGACCGTGCAAAGGGGTTTCATGGGTCAGCTGATATCTACTGCTTGGGATTTCCAATTAGCTTCATGTTTGCTGCTACAGTCTGCTTCTGCACCCACAGACCTCACCCTGGCCCCGCCAACTGCTGAAAGGTACAGTCCTTCATAAAAGTTTGGGCAAGACAACTCCAGAAAGTAATTTCAGAGCAGCTATCTTTACAAAAAGGTACTCATCACCAAACTGCATAAAATCTAGTTCAAATTCCCTGCTTCCCAAGCAGCAGGAGAGATCAAGTCTCCCCATCAGGTCTTGAAAGTCCTCCTTAATAAATCTTCTGGCGCCTTTCTATAGGGAGTTTTCTTTTCTTGACTAGG